CTTTGCAGCCAAGCAGATGCCGTGCGCGCGGTGCTCACCGCCCCGGGGAGCTGCAGGAGGGCCCTTGGCAGCCGCTGGCAACAGCGCGTGCTCTGGGACACCGAACAGCAAAGCCACAGAGCCTCAGCATGATGGGGTTGTGTGTTCAGAGGGAACTTGCACCCTCTGGACTCGCCAAACAGCGGCCAAACCCGCGAGCGGAGCGCGGCGGCCCGCCAGCCCCTTGGATTTGCTCTGTTACAAATTACACACACCCCGGGCAGGCAGGGCCTCTGCTCTTTGAAAACCTATCCCCCGGTGTTTATTATAGAAATCAGTTGCCCTATCTGTTGACAGCCAAATTGCAAAAGGCCCCGCTGGAACCGCCGCCCCCGTGCTCCCCTTCTGCCTGGGATGCCTTCATCCCAATGGGCTTTGAGGTGCTGTGCTTGGGGACAGGGCTGCACAGCCACCCCCTGGTGCCACCAAGCGCTCTCACCGTGGAGAAAGCTCACCTAAATGATTGCAATGCCACAAAGAGGACAGAAGGTAATAATTAAATCAGAGAGGCAACGTGAGGTCCTTTCACACCCCAACATGTTTTGCTGTGCCTCCAGGAGCGCCCACAGGAGGTAGAGGGCTGTGCATTGAGGGTTATCTCAGGAAAGGTTTCCTTAAAGCGCAGCACTGGGCTGCATTGCTCAGGGTTTGCAGGAGGGAATGCCATGTGCCACGCACTGCTGTGTGCCATGCATTCCCCGTGCCATGCATTGCCCTGTACCATGCATTCCCTGTGCCATGCATTGCCCTGTACCATGCGTTGCCCTGTACCATGCATTCCCTGTGCCATGCATTCCCTGTGCCATGCATTGCTGTGTGCCAGAGTGAGCCATGAACCCCGCTTATCGCTGCGCTGGGCGAGCGGGTCTGTTCCCAGCTCCTGCAGGTGAGTCACTTCCCCTCTATCTTCTGCATTTCCCATGGTTAAAACGGGCTCGATAAGCACAGGTGTGTTTAAGGGATTTAACCCCGGTGTGGCTGCACGGTGCCCTGGGGGGCCAGGCTGGGTTCCTCTTCTCTTTTTTCTTCCAGGGTTTCCCTAAGGGGCATAAGCACCAGAATGGCACTGCTGGCAGCACGGGGCTGCAGTTTGCTTCCTTGCAGCACAACCCACAAAGAGCAGAGCAGCGAGCCCTCCAGCACCCCCAGCACTGCACCCCATGGGATACCAGCACACAGCATCCCTCCCCACCCCCTGCACTGCACTGTCCACTCTGTGCCCCCCACAGGGACCCCCAGCGGGGAGCTGCAGCCTGGGCCGGGCGCCAGCATTTCTTCCCCATTTTTTTTTTTTTTATTTCACTTTATTTTATTATTTTATTTTTTTGGAGGCTTCGCCGGTGTCTGCCTGCTGACTGAAGCTGTCATTATCAGCTCAATAAATCTCTGGCGCGGGTTTTATTGAATCGCTGCCTGAGGGGGAACAAGCCTGTAAAGGTTGAGGAGAGCAGAGCTTTCCCACGCCTGAGACACGCTGCCGGAGCTCTTGCACACATTCCGGGCCTGCCAGCACTCTGCAAATGTTTGGACAGCCTTGAACAAATAACACACCTTTAAAGAGGCCAGCATGAAATTTTTCCTCACCCCTCGGCCGCCCTCCCGCTGCCTCGTGCCCCCCCAGCACCCCGCAGTGCTCCGTGTGTGTGCGCACGGGGTTTATTTTAGGCTCGTGGCCGCGCTCCAGTTTCGGGGAGGAGGATGGAGGATGGGGATGGGAGGAGGTCTGGCTTTTCCTCCCGCAGGTAGGAACTGGCTCCAGCTGTGATTTGGGGGATGCCAATGCTTCTTTATTCGTATTCTTTTTGTTGCACGGTTCCAGGGATGCTCCGCTCCGTGCCCCCGTGGCACAGCGCAGGGGTTGAAGCAGGATTTGCCCCAACGCGGTTGTGGGGCCGTGGGGAGCCTCAGCAAGGATTAATGGAGCAGCCAGCTGCCTGCCTGCTGAGTTCTGGGAATGTCAAACACTGCAGCCATCTCAACAGCTCCTAAAATTCCCCCTGACTCGTTTCCTGTTGCTGCTTTCCCGATGCTGAAAGGCTCGGGCTCCCGTGGATAAAAAAATTTAAAAAAAAAAAAATAATAATAAAAAAAAAATTGGAAGGATTCCAGAATTTAGGTTTCTGCCTCCTCCATCTTCCCTGTCAACGCGTCGTTAAATAAGAAGCAGGAACGCTGCCTTCGCCGTGCGCTCGTCACCAAAGAGCCGAGCGAAAATCCTGCTGGATGGAGCAGGTGACAAGTGGGTTCCTTGCTCCCAGGGTCTGTCCCCACGTGCCATACCCGAGCAGAGGGCGGCAGGAGCTGCACAGACCACGACTTGGCTCCCTTTGGGGAAACAGAGGCACACCTGAGGCAGGGATGCTGCAAGGGACAGGCAGCAAGCTGCTGCACGCACCCGCCGACAACCAACCGCACCTTGGGCAAGGTCAACAGCGAACGTAGAATGGGAAGAGCGAAGGTTGAGCAGCACGGCGCAGGGCTGGGTGCAAGGTCCATTGCCAGCACGCTCATAAAGCGTGGATAAGGGAGTGGTTTCTAGCTGAGAAAACCTCTCACGTTGGTTTAGAGGCCACCCAGGTGTCCCCAGGTTGAAGGGAGCCGTGTGTCACAGCGAGGAGGAGGCTGTGCCGTGCTTTGGTTCTGCGTTGGAAAGGCTTTGCACGCACATTGCTGGCATGGGGTGGGTGGTCAATGCTTCCTTCCTTGTGACCACACCCGTGCAGATTTGAGTCACCGTGGGATGATACCAGGCAGGGGTTGGGCTGTGCTCTTCTCTCCCAAAAAACCTTTGGGAGGTTGGGCGCATTCCAGGAACTACAGCAGGGTTTGGAGCTTCCCAGCACTTGCTGTGGCTTGGTTGGTTTGGCCAAGGTCTCAGCCTAGCTCTCTGGTGCAGCTGCTCCCCCAAAAAAGGCACAGGAACCACCAGTTTGCAGCAGGAGGTGGATCAAACCTCCTGTTTGCTTTCAAGCCTTCAATTGTCCGTTAGCAAAGTGCAGACCACAGAATGGGTGGCCCCTTTCCTGCAGAAGCTGTGAAAACCTGCTCGGTTCCTGTGCTAGGAAAGCAAACAAACAAACACGACCCGGCGCTGGGTTTCAGCACATCAGAGCATCTGGAAGCAAACCCTGAGCCCTTGCCTTGCTGATAAGAGCCAGCTCCATTGCCCACCGATGGGAGAACCCGGAGATGTAATTAGAAATGCGAAACGCTGGAAACAAAGGGCAAAAAAAGCAATCAGCAAAAGGTAATTAAAACGGATTCAACGAAGCAAAAATGATCCAAACTTAACACTGGGAGCGGATCCAGCTGAGCAGGCTGGGGCACGGCGGACCCACGGCTCTGTGTCTGTGCTTTAGTGCTGCTTTGCACTTCTGCAGCCCACGGCTCTGCAGGGGTCACAACGCAGGCATCAGGGTGGCTCAGCAGAGGGGCAGAGGGATTTATGGCAGACCTTGGGAGCGGGAGGCTGTGCTGTCAGAGTCTGTGCCATCCGAAGGCAGTGCACGTGGGGAGCTCGTTCCTCCTCACTTATTTTTAGCACTGAGGTTTATATCAGGAATGACAAATTTGGCATCGGCGCTCGGATGTGGCTGGGATGGGAGCAGCGTGCAACAATACAGTCCCAAACACAGCAGGGCTGCCTCTTCCTCTGCTGTCAAGGCTGGGGGCGGTGGGGAGCCCAGCAAAGCCAGCCAGCCCCAGCACTCAGCAGCAGGGAGCAGATGGAAGTGAAGAGAAGCACGTTACACTTGTCCCTGGGCAAAAAAAGCAATGTGTTTTGTATCCCTATTAAAGAGAAAGCTCGTGTCACTGGAAAATGGATCAGGTTTTTGGGAGACTGGGGAATGCAATCGCTCTGTTTCTTGCCCCGTGCTTGGGCTGTGCTCAGTGCTGAAAATCCCATATCTGAATGTGGGGTGATGAATGTGCTGTGTCCCACGGGATCCTGGGCTCTCATATGGCCTCAGGTCTCTGCAATGAGTGAGTCTTTAGGAAGACACCATCCAAAATGCTGCCTTGGTGCCGGATGCATTCCCCTTGCTCCTAGCTGGTCCTCCTGCGTGGGATGCTCCACGCTCAAGGCAGTTCGCTGGGATTAGGATGGGGTGCTCACGGGATGAGGCACTGCCCAAACAACAACAAAACCCCACTGCAGCCAAGCACCGTGCTGGGAACACGGAGTAACCCACGTGTGCGTGTGGGAAGCTCTGTGCCCGAGGTTATCCAGTGCTGCGGGGGGTGGGCATGGGGGAATGCTGTCCTCAGCGCTGCCTTGTGCAGCTTGCTGCTGGAGATAGAAGCTGCACGCAGCCTTATCCCTCCCACCAGCTCCCATGTTTTGGCTGGGGCCGACGGGAATTAGCGGCAGTGCAGTGTTTGTTCTCACCGAGCAGGGGGGAGGCTGAGAGGGAGAGACACCAAGAAAATAACAGGGGAGAGAAGGAAGGAAGGGGAGGGGATGTGCGCAGAGCCACGAATTCACGGCATCCTTCCAGGACGCATTGGGAGGGCGCAGTGGGGGTGGTTTGAAGAGCTGGGACAGCTCTGGGAGAGAGAGTCCGTTCAGACATCGATCTGCTGATATAGGTCAGCTCCAGTCATTATGCAGAGCTCTAAAAACAGGGCATCAATCACCGCAGCCAGACTTCAACCGCTGGGACAGAACCGGCAGTGAGAGGGGGTCTGGAGGTCGGCTTTGCCCTAGATTTATTTTTCCCCCATTTGCAGCCGGAATGGGTCGGGTGGAAGGCAGCATGTTGCCTTCTATGGGGCTTATCGCTCCCATGGCCCTCTGCCCCTCCCTGTCTGGCTGGCAGCTACCTGGCCGCGAGCAGCGATGCTATCACACAGCACACCGATAAGGGCCACGGGGATGTGGCAAGCGCTGGCCCTGTAGGACTGCAAACACAGGGACGCACCCCGCCCTGCTTAATACCCCAAAATGCTGTGTTTGGGACGTTTCCTTTTGAAAGTTCCAAGCGGGTGACTCACCCCATGTACCTTGACTCCTTTTTCTGCACTTTATTATTTTGTTTTATGGCTGGAATTTGTCCCCTTCGCTCCGACCCTTGCACTGCCAAGGAGCAGCCCCACGCTCGCAGCTTGCCGGTGGTTCTACGGGCGCTCAGCCCCTCGGTGTGGGTGGAGGGCAGCCCCCTTTGCAATGCCATGAGCGGTGCCACGGCCTATAGGAAGCTGCTGGGCTCTTCACCAAGGGATCCTAAAAGACAGAGGGGCAAAGTGCAGCTGGATGGAGCCGGTTCTGTCTATGGAATAATTGCTTGAGGTGCAGCATCGCTCAATTTCAGCAGCCAGTTGGTGATGGCCGTGGTTGTCATGGACTGCTGCAACGGAGATTGGTTGGATTTATGGCCCCTCTTGCATGAGCTAGTTAAAAAAAAATAGTACAAACATTTAAACACCAGTGGCAGTAAAGATAAAAATGCAAGCCTGATTAGATAAAGATACATATTTCATATTTACACCTGGACCATAACCTTTGTTTGCTCCAGCTTGAGGCTACTCAAATGCACGAGTGCTCCGCAGAGATTTCCTGGAGGCCCCAACACCTCCTGGTGCAATGGGATTTGGGAGTGGGCACCCAGAACGTGCAGGAGAGCTCCTTGGGGACAGGGACAGCGGCGAGGACACATCCTGCAGGTGCTGTGGGGCAGGGATGGGGCAGCAGGTGCAGCCTGGAAAACTCTGCCTTGCAAAGCGTGGATCCTATGGGCGCTGCTGCCTCTGCGGCGTGTTGACACCGAGGTTAAACCAGTGCAGCCCCGCGGACTCGGTGGCACTGCCCGCTTCTGAGACACGTGTCAAGGGCTTGGGGACACGGTGGCACATGCCTTTCTCTTCTCTTTTTTTTTTCCCTTCTGCTTTTTGCACACGTCAACCGAGCAGATTCCATGTTAATGTCACGTCCGTGCGGCGGCGGTGCATTCCTCCCAGCGTTGCCATGTGAGGCCGGGACGGCGTTTGGCTGCGGTTAAAATGCTTTATCAGTTGCTGAAGTCACTTTGTAAATAGCGGCAGCCAAGAGCCGGGAGTTGGGGAGGATGGGGAGGAGGGGGGGGGGGGGGGGGGAAGGAAGGGAGAAAAAAATAAAAGCAGGAAGAAAAAGGGCTTTGTTACTTTTAATAGGGTGTGTTATGTTCTTCCTTCATCTCCCAGATATGCCACACTCGGCGATGACAACGCTGCTTTATGGGGTGTCCCCCCCCCCCTCTCCCCGCTGAGCTCAAACCCCCCCCCCCCCCACCGCATAGCAGAGCACAGCCGCCCCGCGCTGCTGCCTGGCGAGCCGACAACGCCGCTCTGTTTTCATCACGGAAAAGCCTCCGGGCGCATATTTTTGTAATTAGGGCTTTTCTGCTCAGCAGTTTTTGCAGCTGTGATGACACTTGGGTGTCGCCCCCTGGTTTCTCACGCTCTTTCTTGCCAAGGCGCCGGGCTGCAGCCAGAGCCGGCCGTGTGCTGTGCAAACCCCGCGGCTCGTGGGCGACGGCCGCGGTCCCACGTCGAGGTTGTGGTCTCTTTCTGGTGGTGGCACGGCTCTCTCTGTCCCTTTGCATTGGTGGAGAGACCCGGCGAGTAATGGGGAGGCTGCCCCATGGATGCTGTGGGGTTGTGGTGCTGTGCCACACAGTTGGCGGCCCCAGAAGTTTGCTCCAGCTGTGCCTTGTTAGAGCCAGGATGCCTCTGCGGGATGGGGAGAGCCACAGGGGTCATTAATAACAGCTAACGATGCTGCCTCGCGTGCCAGGCATGGAGCAGCTGCTCCCACGCAAGAAGCAAGAAGTGTCCCTGCTTTCAGTGCACGGCACTGCAGCCCCATTAATGAGCTCCTTCGTGTCCCAGAGGGACGTGTCACCCTTTTCTGGGTCCCACCCATTGCATCCATGCAGCTCCAGCAGATCTGGCAGCACCTTTCTCCCCTCCACTCCCTCCATAGGGGCAGGAGCCACAGAAGCTATCCCCAAATGTAGCCCTAAGGACCGGGCTCTGCTCTCAGATGTTCACCTACCAAAGGACAACAAGCCAAGGAATTCATTTCTGTCCTCAGTTTCTCCTCCACTTTGTTTACTTAGCAGTGCATCACTTGGAGCGGAGGTGACATCTCTCTATGCACAGAGGTTTCTCCTTCTGTTCTTGGCCTCTACCAGAATTAACATTGAGCAGCTGTCACAGAGCATTCAGTGAACTTGGGCTTCTGTTCCTCCCCGTGAGTTTAGCAGCAGCTCCTTGGTGCTGAGAGTGCAGGTGTTGGACCTGGGCCAGTCCTTATGGAAGTGGGTGGGTGGACAGATGGACAGACAGATGGATGGATAGGTGGGTGGGTGGATGAGGGGATGGACAACAGGTGGATGGATGGATAGATGGATGGATGGATGGATGGATGGATGGACGGATGGACAAGGAGGATGGACATCCCATGCTGTACAGTTGCCCTCACATCACCCATTGCTGATGGCAGTAACAAAGACTCTGTCCACAGTGGGTTTGTGGGACTTTCTTGGTATCTCCTCCTCCAGCAGAGTGTTTCTCCCTGAGAATTTTCCTCGGGGTCCACCTGCTGCATTAAAATGTACCTCTCCTGTAGGAAAATGCAGGTTTTCATTTTACACAGGGCTCTCATTCTTGCAAAATGGCAGCTTGAGCAGATGAATCCACCACAAAAGCGCCTTACAAACACGGGGTTTAAAACAGATCATCTTCTGATCCTGGGCTATTTCTCATAGCAGTGAAGGCTTTGGGCACGCTTTCTTTTTTTCTTTCAACAGAAAGCTAATTTTTCTGCTGAGATCACTTGATTCCAGGAGCTACAACCCCGTGCAAACCCCCACTTTGTGCTGCAAAATGCAGTGGTGAACCTACAGGGCAGCAGCCGCTTCCCCTGGAAACCCAGGAAGAGGAAAGAAGGAAGCCAGCAGCTTTGAAAGAGCTTACTGAAGTGCTCTCATTTATTCTTACTCCCAAGCCTTTGCATGCCAGCTTCCTTGCAAAACACTTCTATAAAAAAAAAAATATCTAGAAGGAAATTAGATTTAAAATAGGAAAAAAAAAAAAAAAGAAAAAAAGAACCCCAACCCTTTCATACCACCGCATAAATCATTTTGTTCTGAACCAAAGCGAAAAGATGCAGCTCTGGCCTTGGTTTCATTAAGTGACAGGGTGGCTTTATTCAGGGTGGAACAAAACAGCAGTTTCTGCTCAGGAGCCCACAGAATCTGCCCTCAGGGTGGAATTTGCACTTGAGAGGCTGATGGTGTCTGGGGCTGCGCTGCCCTTTGGTTTGAGGGCTTTCACCCCAGGCTGTGTCCCCGTGTCCCCACGTGCCTCCTCACATTGCTCAATCGCACTCCTGCGTCTCCCATTGCAGCAGGACTGGTGAGCTCCAGCCCTGGGGCTGCTCCCACACCCCACAGATGGGGATTTGGGACATTCTGGGTTCTCCATTCCTATTTCAGCCCGCTGGCTGCAGCTGCTTTCCCTCAGTAAGGACATGGCTTTGTAGGGCAGCCACTGGAACCGGACCCACGCCAAGCACCCCCAGCTCTCCCATGAAGCCATAACACCCACTGGGCTCCAGCTGAAGGTTGCTGATGTTGGTTGACCACATACCCATGGGCATCAAACCCACACCCCACCAACCCCCCCCCCCAGCTCCTGGCACTGGGACAGTCACATAGAATTAAGTTCCAAATAAACAACAGTGGGAGAGGAGGGAGGATGAAGGAAGGAGAGATTTGGGGAAAGCCAGTATAATTGGCCTAGGCCTTTTGACCCTGTCTATTATGGAGGATCTGAGGCTCCTTCATTACCCGGCTCCACGTGCATTGTGAGTGTCAGATCTCTCCGCCAGCACGCATTTAGAATCAGACAAGTGTAGAAAATCCCCCGGGCTCCCCCAGCTGAAGCAATGGAGGATTCGGGGCTCTGTGCTGCTCCCACTCCTCCCGTTGGACCTCTTGCTCCGGGCACAGCGACCCACCGCCGGGTGCTGACCCCACCATAGAGCCCCGTCAGAGTTCACTGGAGGCAAAGGACGTGGCACGGCCAGGGAGGAGGGGATGCGTTGGGAATTGTGCCCGGACAAAAGGAACAGCTCACCAGTGCCATTTCTGTGAAATTCCTTTTTTATTTTTGGGGGGCAGAGCGCGGCTTTGTAGGGGAGGGTGGAGCAGGGACCCAGGTGGTTGCACATCCTGAAGCCATCAGGCAGCATCCTGCCCTTCCAGGTTGCTTCTTGAAAGCACCCACAGCCTCTGCTGGTGACCGTCATCAGAGAGCAGCACGTCCACAGCACATCTCACTGTGGAATCATACTACCATTAAGATTGGAAATGATCAGTAAGATCCCCAAATCCAACCTCAGCCCACCCCCACTGTGCCCACTCATACAATCACCCATACAATTCTGTGTCCTTGATAAAAGGACCTCCAGGATCTCCAAGTCCAACTGTAGACCCATCACCCCCATGCCCCCCAAACCTTAACCCTTCTCCTACTTCGTGCATACCGTGTATTAATGGAAATGATGTTCAGATTTATTTCTTTTTGCCATGATATCTTAAAATAAGCTCAGGTTGGTTTAGTTTTCTGTCCACAGGACAGCTCAGAGCTGTAGGTCTTTTGGTAGGATGATAGAATGGGTTGAGTTGGAAGCGACCCTTAAAGGCCATGCAGTCCCTCTCCCTGCACTGAGCATCCCTGCATAGCACTGGGGACACCCATGCGTCCTCCATGCTGGTCGTTGGGAGCATCCTTCACTCTCCTCTGTGCTTCTTCCTCTCTCTGGTGACTGCTAAACATTTCCAAGTGATTTTTACAGCCAACCAGCTGATGCCATTTGTTAAAAATAACTTTTTTGTGCATCTAACGCTGCCTGCTTTGGAGGCAACGTGTGACACAAACCTGTCTGTTCCCAGATCCGAGCGCTTCTCCAAATTTCTAATAAATCAGCAATCCTGCTGTAGCTGACACGATTTCAGCTCTTTGCCAAACGGGGATGAATGATGATAGATCCACATTTAGAAAGAACTTTGAGATCTTCCAGTTACAAATAGCATCCAGAGAAAGAGAAAGAGTCAGTGAACCTGGCGGGGACTATTTCTGAAGGTTACAGAAGAGTGCTGCCAACTCATCCAGACCATTTTTATCACGGCTTATGCCTCCAGGGTTCCTCTGCTCTGCTCTGCCAGCAGTTGTTTTGGGGGTTCCTTCCTTTGGTTTCTCTGATTTTCTATGCACCGTTTCTCCTGGTCTCCACGACCTGTTGCATTTTGTTACTCGTGGTTGAGTTCTGCTTCAGACGTGAAGGTGCCCATCTCAAGCACGATCAGAAAGACACAGGGTCATAGAATGGCTTAGGCTGGAAGGGACTTTAAAGACCATCCAGTTCCAGCCTCTGCTGCAGGCTGGGTTGCCACATCAGATAACATGAAAACAGCAAAGGAGACGTGGTAGGAGCCAACCTGCCATGCTCTGCAGCCACGGCCCCAGAGATCTCATCATGAGTCAGTCCAAGACATGCACAGGGAAAATGAAATTTAGAATCCTCGACACTCAGAAGATGGAGAGATGTTGGGTTCTGCTGGCCGTGCCATTTTTCAGCCTCTGATGACATTTCTGAGCTTTCCTCCTGGCCACATTTTGATCACTTTGAACAAAACCTGAGATTCTCGCACAAGGTTTGGAACTTCAGCCTTACTCCCAAAGTCAGTTCTGAGGGCAGAGCTTTGAAAGGACTCCCTGCAGTCGCACCTCTGCGATGCCTTTGCACGCTGAGCCTGGCACAAAGCACACAGAGAAGGCGTGCCAGCTGCAGGACAAGCAAAAGCCGCCATCGCTGAGCCCAGTTGGGAAACCCCTTTCATCCCATGGCTCAGCAATCCAGGGGAGTTATCCCAACAAGTGATTCTGTGATCCCTTGGCTCTGTGATATCTGGCACCCCAGGATGGAGCGGCGGCGTGGAGCACGGGTGCCCTCCTCACCCCATCTGCTCACCGCAGGGATGCTCAGGGTCCCCAGGAGAAGGGAAAGAGCTGAATGTGTTTCTTCTGCAGCTCAGTTTCAAGGAAAATTTGCCCTTTCACAGTTGCTTAAGCAAAATGTCAGCGAATGCCAAATGCCCGGAGCCACATATGCTCTACACAAGAGAGGCTCCATAAATCAGGGAGCAGTTAGTGGGAAAAAATCAGGTTC